ACCCGGGAAGTGGGGAAGTGGCATTTTAATTAGAGCAGCTCCAAGAGTTGCTTTAATTAAAGTGCCCAGAGCATGTCATGTATCAGTGTCCCCACACCTCAAAATGGCAATGGGGGCACTTTATCTAAATCTTGTTGAACAAGCTTTAGATAAAGCACGCCCCCCCGCCCACCATTTTGAAGTGTGGGCATGCTGATACACAAGATGCTGGAGGCTGCTGAAGCATGGCAATTACTACACTCCAGCAGACTCAATTAATTGTGTGTGCTTTGACCCACTGTAATGACAGCATGTCAAAGCAGCCTCCCTTCTCATGTATATGAGCCCTTAAAGTGGGATCTGCCATTTTTAAAGTGCTTCATGCGCTGTGAAGTTCTGTTCTCTTGTGGCTGTAAAGTGCTTTCTGCATCCTTAAAGCGAATCAAATACAATGTCTGCACCTAGCCCAGGAGTTTAGTGAAATACAATCCTTTTATATGAAAACTCTCACTGGAACTGAAAAATGCATATTTAGAGATCATTGAGAATGGAAGTATCACTAGTTACTCTTACATAGAATAGTGTACACTCATCCCTCTTTACAGAAGCTTTTAAGTTACCTCTTGAAAACAGTAATTAAAAAACAAAAATAAAAATGAGACTTTTTGCTTTTGTATAAATTAAAATATTTTCTGGTCACATAGATTTGTATCCTACAGTTGCAGCTTATGGTGTATTGCAGTCTAATACACCGTAAATTCAGATGAAAATAGCATCAAAATTACTCCTGATTTATTATCCAGAATATTTCTATATAAATTATAATAATGTAAAGATGAAGTGATGTTCTCTGATTAAAGATCTAGTCTTACTTATTCTGCATATTCATAAAACTTTGTACATCATGTCAACTGGCTCCTAATGTCTTCAAGATTTTCATCCAATCTCTGTTTTGCTCATGATTGCCTAAAAGTAAGCAGAGAAAAAAACCTTTTTTCCAGATCATAGAAGTTTTCATAACAAAATACACACTTTATCATTGTAATATTCATTTTTCATCAGACTATTGTATTGTTATAACATAAACGCATTCTTCTGAAAAAGAACATGTAATGTCAGTTATCCAAGCAAGGTTTTAAGAACAAAGATATACTTGTATCATAAAGACTTGCCTTTCCCTGTCTCATAAAAAGGAAAAGAAAGCAGAATGCATTATTAATGCTGTGAATTCCTCATTTAGTTGAACTGTACCCGCCTTTCAGTTTCAGTTGAATCCATTAAGATTATTAATTACTGAGCATTTCAGATGGGAATTAATATCAGTTTTTATTTTTAAAATGTGGTGAATTTTACTACTATATAGCACAAGCTTCCATGGGCTGAAGCTCACTTGACCAGGTGATATGAAAGGCCATTTCAGGCAGTGTCATATATCTTTCTCTTTGGGGAGCAGCAAAATAGATTTAGGTAGGGAGAAAGGAAGGAAGGATCTGCTTTAGTTAGTCTATAAGGTGCAAATCTGTCCGTTCTTCTACTTTACTTTACTACTAGTCCTCTGACTGCTTCCAAACTGGTCCTACACCTATATTTTAGTTCTAATTTAAA